TGTGGAATACAAATAGTCCTGTGTCCTCTGCCATAGTAGTCGTGATTTCCAGCATCTGACTATTGACTTAGTACATTCCCAAAAGTTTCGCCTGCATCCTAGTCGGCATAATCAGTGAGAGGTGCTATCGTCAGCATAGAGTTACAACTTATCAAATTGGGAATTGACAAACTCCTTGACAAACTTTCTGTTCAACCGTTGTGGCACCCCTCATCGCCCCTATTTCTCTTCCACCTTCTAGTGCTGCATCTCCTCTTAACCTCGCTTCATATAGCCCATCTCCATATTAAAACAATTCTATGTTTTCGTCTGCTCCAATGTCACCCAAGAAAGTGTCGCAACAAGTGGGCTTAATGAAGCGTAATAATTTCCACTACCGATACTAGGTGCTGTAAGAGGATAACCAAGTCATGGGCTTGAAGCCAGAGGAAAGGATGATTCAAAAGCCCTGGCCTGGACATGGGCATCATCTGCTCTAAATCATCGAATATGGCGTAATCGGGGACAGGAAGTGAAGGCTCTTAGACAGCTAGATTTCAAAGTCAAACAGTGATTTTTATGTTTAGCAGCGACCAATTGATAGGCAGAGTAAAAAAAAGAGGGACTGAATGAAGGTCAGGAGTCCTGCAAATGACACCTGTTATCGGTGGTGAAGATGATTACGCTTCACTAAACCCACTTGTAGCTACACACTTTTAGGCGACATAAGAGGAAACGAAAACGCGGAATTATGTGAATAGGGAGGTGAGCCATATGAAGCTGGATTGAGAGAAAAAGATGCAGCACTAGAAGGTTTGAAACAAAAATAGAGGCGAGAAGTGATGCCCCAACGGTTGAACAGAAAAATGGTTAAGTGGATTGCCTTCACCTGTCCCTTTGATAAGTTGTAACTATGTGCTAACGATGTCGTCTCTCACTAACAATGCTGACTACAATCCCGATGAAACGTTTGGAAAGGAACCAAGTCAATGGTCTGATACTGGAAACCCCGACAACTATGGCAGAGGACACAGGACTAGATGCGTTCCACAGGCTCTCCCTGACGCTCCGACCAAGTTGCGAAAATGAGGTCGAACCAACATAATATATAAATGAATGAATTATATATATGCATATATCATGGAGCACGTATAATTAAATGAAATGTATGAGATGAAATAAGGACATAGGATAAAAAGAATAAAGGTGCATTCGATAAAGAAAAATTCCGATTTGAAATGTCAGCATACAATAGTCACAGTACCTCAACTTCTTCAATTGCACATATTCAAAGATAAATATGCAAGAACAAAACTAATTGAGAGATAAGAGGTTGTGAAGAGACTGGGACAAGATAAGCGAAAAGGTTTAGCAATTATCATATTTAAAAAAATAAATTAAAAAATGGTCATTCATTCCCTTATGCACAAAAAGGATTACTTTTAGGTCAATAATTCAGACAAAAATCAGTAAAACTGTTTTTTACTTGAAAGAAATTCAAGTGGACAACACTTAATTCTGTCTATAATATTATACAATGCAGAGGTCAATCAGTAATGGTTAAACTTTTATTGAGGTAATCTCATTCAGTAAAATAATTATGATAATGTATAAAGATGATTAGGATTATTCTCTAAAGAAAAAGCTTTAGGATCCTCTCTATTATGCATTGAGATCCGTTAGCAGCATCATATGCCCTTGACTTCATAGGCTAATCGAAATTTACAGGGATAGCATGAGAAATAATTAAAACCAAAAATAAATGTTTACAAAAGAGTTGAACAAAAGAATTATTTAATAAATATGAATAAAGAGTTAAGATCCTATTAAAATTATAGTCAAAATCATATGCAGGCAGTAATATTTATACCACTAATATCACAAGTAACACTAGAAAAAGACAACAGTTGCTTATTTTGGAGACAACGTGAAGGACTAATTCAGCATAAAAACTAAATAACTATCTAAGATGCATTTATGACCAAAAAATCAGTAAAATAATATTGAATTCAACAGCTTTCGTCTTTTATGTCGACTACTTGTTGAAATCGCGACACCTTTCATTGAATAATCAGATTTTTTGACTAGATACACCAAGGAAGATACATAAGTAAACAAATATTTCACTCGTCAATATTACTTTCACTAAATAGATTTATAAATACATAAGCTCCCATTTCTACCCAGGTAGAGAATCGAAAGCTCAGAACTCAGGCCTAAAAAAAGCTTAAAAAACAGTATATATCTAGAAAGCACAGGAGTAGCAGTTTACAGACTAATAAATCAAATACTAAAGAGTTTATGAGGACAGGTATGCGCTTAGAAAACGGCAAAAAAACGTTATTTGTCTAGCAGTGATCACCTTACAAGTAGAAATTTATTCATTCAGTCATGGGGAAGCCAAACCATAAAAACACAGGTTTTATTCTTAAAAAATCCATTTATTTAACGCCAGTTACAAAAATAAATGCAAGGATATGGTATTCGTATAATATTGGAAAGAATCTAGTGAAGTTCATTTGCTAATACATGACTTACTTCCTGAAGAAAGATTTCTATCTAGGTAATTTTTTTGAAAAAAAGAAGGAATTAAGGGTAATTAAAATAATAAATGTGATAAGGTTATGGATACATTTGAAGGATATACCGACATAGTTGGAATAATTAATGATTCTCATCTTGAATGCTCTATGTTGAAGTAAATCGAGAGATACAAATTTTTAAAGAGCTTAACGATTCACATCAGATAATCTGGATATACTATCAGCAAGTTTAAGATATAAAGAGTATATTATCCTACTATGCACAGTAGCATAAATAGCCATAATCAGACCTTTAGTAAAAATGTATGAAATGAAGTCCTTTTTTGAACTTTTATCATTAAAAATATCTCACAAATTCATTAATAGATTATTCCCAGTAAATCGTCAAATGTTGACAGTAGAAATAGAATTCCCATTTTCACAGCTGCTAAGACTTTCGAAAGGATTGAATTAGCCGTATGAAGAGTTTAATCGATAATATTTTGCGTGGCTTCTATGGAGGTAACCAATTGAGAATTTAAGCTATATTAATAAATGATAAAATTTACTCTGTAGTAAATTATCAAACTAGAACCTCTGAAAAAAAAGATTAAATTCTTAGAAGGGGGCAAAGTATGCATTTAATATAGAAGGCTTACCATATCAGTCCAGGTGACATCATCGGAATCTGAGTTGATGGGGGCTGGCTTAAATTGCTTATTTCGCTTAGTCTCTGGAAAAATCAAGTCACTTTGAGTGGCAAACATATGTCGCTCAATGCAGGCCAGAACTGCAGCCTCAAGATATGCCGAGACCCCAGGTGGTATGTCAGGACTGGAGTCAAGCCGCAAAGACTTGTTCCTATACTGTTTCTGATTGCCGATAGCGGTTGATGAGGATGATTGAGTCAAGCACGAATTGTGCAGTAGCTCAGACCCTGGACCCAGCATCCTTTCAGAAATCAAGGCTGCAGGGGTCGTTGCACAGCTAGAAGGAGACGACGGAGTAGGCGTCAAGGCAGGAGTAATCGGTCTAGTTGCCGATATGCCTGAATTGCGTGGCATAGGAATTGTCATGCTGGGCGTTTCAGTCGTGGAACTATGGCTCACGGTGCCATTATCACTGGCAGAGGAAGTTGCAGTAGCAGTACCGGAATACGAGGTTGTGGATGAGGTGGCGGTGATCGTGCTGGTGGTGGCGGGGGTGGTGAAAGAGCTGCCTATAGAGGAGAAAGATTGCATCGAAGTAGGTGTTTCTGGGGGTGAAATTGGATGCGGAAGCCCTTGGAACCCACCAGCAGGAGAATCGATTATACTTGAGGAAGTCAGACCCATGCCTAGATTATACGGATGGTGCTTATTCATTGAGGATAACTGAACACCAGCACGACTACTTCCCACCACATCAGGTCTGGAAACCTGCGCTGGTAAGTCTAAACCGGTCGACTGGCTGTTCCGTTGCTGGGCAATCAGGAATCCACGATGTGTGCGACCCATAGGATACATGAGGTGGCCGGCACTATCCGAACAGTCAGACGAATGTCTAGACATAATACATAGATAATCAAATTGATAAGGAAGATGCGGAGTACTAACGAACTGAGGTAAGAACATAATTATAAAGTGTGATTTTGTATGAATAGGAAATGCTTTTAAGAAAACATCGGGTAAAGGCAGGTGAAAAAGTGTGCAGTGATTAGGTCTAATCGAATTAGAAGATTTTACACTAAATGGGAAGTTTTAACCAGCTAATATAAATGACCTCGAATCTCACATCGATATCAATTTTATTAAAGTTATACAAAGTTTCTGTAGAAATTAACTTTTGGTGGGATCACAATTTACTGAATGATAATTGAGGCGAATGCGAATATAGTTTGTTCGATAATAAACAATGAATTGGATGAAGTCAACTCTTATAGTATCTCATTTACGATGGACATACTATATGCATGCAAAACATAAAGAAACATGCTGAGTCAATCACTATAAGTTTTTATGCTAATTTCTAACTCTTTAAAATGACATGGTACAAATTCTATGACAAAATGTGATACGAGATACGTGATAAGGATTGGTCTACTACATAAATTCCTCTATAAAAGGTATTAATAATGAAATAATATGCTGTATAAATACCTTCATGGGTCATTTGAATAAAATGAGCTAGTTTAATGTCAGCTATAAGAAGGTGAGATGGTTACAATTTATGATTAAGAAAAAAACAGTTTCGAAATTGACTAGAGAAGTAGGGCTTTGCCAAACCCCATTGTTGGGATGACTTTCATTCCGTATGAAAGCTGCCTTATGAAGATATCCATGGGAAGATCTGAGTATAAAATGAAAGTTACATGTCCTTAAACAAAATTACAATGCTATATTCGAAGCTTACGTAATACAGAGAATAGTCAATTCGACTACAAAAGAAATAAATGTTGCTGAAGATATTAAAAAACGAAGTCCAGTTATGATAGACTCTGAGATAATATATATAGAAGTCCAGGACAGCATCCTAACCCTGCATCAACAAAAAAGTTCCAGTGTGATCAAATAATAGCAGGTCAAGGAAAATCCACAGTTATTTGACCTTTTTTCGCAACTTGGTCATATTGGCAGGAAGACCTAGAGGAACGCACATTGTTCAGAGTCCGTAGTATGCATGATAATTTTCAGTCGGACTTGGTACATTCCCAGATGTTTCGTCGACATTGTCAGTGAGCCTTGCCAATCTTAGCGCCACACTACAACTCGTCAAAGATACAAGTGAAGTCTATCCTTTGACCAAATGTGTGCTAAACAGTTGTGGTATTTCTCCTACTAAAATCAAGTAGAAACAACACATTTAGGGATTGCACGCAATAGAAAGTCATAGAAGAGCGAGATAAACGGTGGTGGTCATTTTTAGTTTGCTATTAGTAGATAGTTTTACTGATAAACGTGGTCAATGAAGTAAAGGCTTAACCACGAGATTCACCTTATCTCGATAAAGGAATCTGCAGCGTCAGGTTAGATTGCCATGCCAACTGAGAATCCAGACATTAGGGGCTTGCTCAGTAAGGCTCAGTATATGTGCTATCAAAGGCTTGAGGTAGAGCGTAGGACAACACCTTGAGTAGTAAGAATATGGAAGCAGCGATGGAGTGAAATCATTGAAAGAGACAGATAATGGAAGGATCTTACGGAGAAAGAGGCTTGGATCAACACTTCCAGTACAGGAGGGATAAGGAAACCATAGGGGAGTGTAAATAGATTTCAAACAGACCTAGATAGACTAGTAAGAAATTGTGATATTGAAGGGGTGATCCGGGGATATAAGATAGGTGAACAGCCCAGGAAGGAGATACCAAAACGGTTTAGCACACATTGGTCAAAGAATCGACTTGACTTTGAAGAGTTGTAGTTTGATGCTAAGAGTGGCAAGGCTCACTGACGATGCCAGCGAAACGCCTGGCAATGTACCACGTCCACAGTCCGACTCTGGAAATTATCATGCATACTATGAACTCCGGATAAGGTGCATTTCTCTAGGTATTTCTGTTAATATGACCAAGTTGCGAAAACAAGGTCAAACAACTTCTATACAGCAAAAGGAGACCGCGACCATACAAAAGGCCATCCTGGTCTTCATATCTTCGACTAATCCACGGTTAATTGATGAGCAGGGCTTTAGGATTCCTTCATCGCGTACTTTCACACAAAATAGTCAACCAATAACAAAATAATAATGAACTTCGATAGAAGAATGAGTCATGCGAAATAGTGAATAAGGCGAGGATTTTTCATGACTCTGTAGGCGGGAAGGTATAAGAAAGATTCGCTAGCGAATATTAATTTTAGTGGAAGGCTAACATTGAACGAGGAAACAAAGCTAATTAGCTGGACCAATGGTTCAGACAGATGTCATATGATGTTTAACAATAAGCAATTTGCCGTGCGATAGAGATAAATCATCCACATAAGAGTAATTAGAAAACTTCCTGAGCTAAGGCAAAGAGGAAAAGATTAAGCTCGATGATTCAGCAGACTTTTTACTCTAGAGAATAGGAAATGAAAATTTTACAATTTCGTAACAAGGATGATAAATAAGCACAATGGTTGCTGTTTAAGTGTCCAGAGGAACTTCCTTTCCACAGTATATCACTCAACTATAGCATAAATGTAATATATCGATCAAATCTATATGTCTTATAATGCTTTTATCAATATCCATAATAAGCAAATTTTGGAAAATATTTCAAGAAACGAAGAAGATAATAAATGTTTCGTTCACGAAATGACGAAAGCAGGAAGTTGGCACGGTGGAATTCTCTCGTATATCCTTATCAAAGAATGCAGATGAGTAGAACACGATTGATTTTTAGTTATCGGTGCTAATTATTCAGAAAAATTCCACATAGACTTGAAAAGTAGCTAGGTACAATGAAAAAGGGCATCATTAAGGTCAATAAAATATAGAATAGGT